ATTTGAGGCGCGACATTGATGTCGAAAACGGAAGGTTTTCTGATTCTCGAAACTCGGAATGCTGCCGCCGGCGGTGGTAATTCTTCATCGCATTTTGTTTCGTAATGTGTGTTTTTAGGGCATCCGGAGACCGCCCGTGTTGATTTATTTTAAATTCTGTATATTATTTGCGCAGTTTGATTTTTGCGATCTGTTTTAGGGTTTCGGGATGAATTATTCGTACTTTCAGTTTTTTGTGTTGTGCTCTGAAAAGGAGTCATTTTTACTCATAACCTGCGGCGTCTTTAGGGTTTCGGGATGAACTTATTTGTTCTTTCAGTTTTGTATTGTGCTCTGAAAGGTGTCATTTTTGCACATAACCTGCGGCGTCGTTAGTGTTTCGATGAGCTTTTAGGAATTATTACAGCTGAGGTGTCATATTTGCACATAACCTCGTTTGCAGTAGCTCATTATTTGACCTGTTGTACAGTTACTAATGCAATGTGGTCTGGCTTTAATCGTAACACACTATAATTATGCCCCTTTTGTTGTTTTTTACATTTATGCTTGTATTCGCGTCTCTAGACGCTAAAAGAGTTGGGTTTTATGCTAAGACTTTTTATTTGTCGTTGATCTTGCTTTAACTCAGGTGCAGATGAAGCAGCTAGACAATACCCACAAAATATGGCGAGGCGGAAACTGGCTGACATTAGCAATTTACCGCAGAAATCGAAGCCATCGGTTCAAGATGATAAGTCGAAATCTATTCCAGTAACTGCTAAAGCATATATTGAACAGCTCCAGAAGGTAACACGAGAGCTTATCATCTTCATGACTGACTAACATTTTTGTGCCTTAACTTTGCCCATTGTGACTGTGATTCAGGAAAATATGGCTTTAGGGAAGATGTTGGCACAGAGAAAGTATCCTTTGCGTGTGTGTGTGTCTGTGTATTGGACATTATGTTATTGATGGATAATTTCTCATGGTTGTGCACTGTTGATTCCTGATTTGAACTTGTGAAAGTAAATTCCTTCACTTTGTTTTACAAAGTAAAATCATCGAACATAGTGGAATTGAACTTGAGAGATTGAGGTCCATTCTGATTCAAGTGCAGGAACAGAATCAGCAGCTAGCTCTGTCACATACCCAAATGCTTAGGGTTTGTGTCCCTTTCTCTTTCATTTTAGTGAATTTGATTTTCAACACTTTACCATTTGCATTAAAGTGACTTCATTTATTTGTTGGGTTTGCAGGAACTGAATTTAGGTAAAGATCGGGTAAGAGCATTAAGATCAGAATTAGTATTTTGTTTCAATGCCTATGGTTTGTCTCCAGTTATAATCTATACGAGATAAGAAATTTCTTTCCTTTTCATTTCAGTTGAAAGCATTACAACATGAGCTTGGATGCAAAAATGGACTGCTTAAAGCAAGAAAACTGGAAGGGGTCTGTGACCTGTGTGCCTTTACTCCTGCTGAATGCACTGTTGTCATACTCTATTACCTTATACTAATTATGGTCATGGTTTTATGCAGGGAGAGGCCTGTAAGATACCAGGCCGAAGTGCAGATGCTGAGGTAAATACTCTCGAACAGTTTATCCGTATTCCTCGAACTTACTTGTATATTGATATAGAATACATTTAGTGCAGCTATTTATTTTCTGTCTCTGCGTGTGTATGTGCAGCACGTGTATGTGTTGTTTCGTTATGCATTAATCACCCATGTTGTAGTATTTTGTTTATTATTATTATTATTATTATTATTATTATTATTATTATTATTATTATTATTATTATTATTATTATTATTATTATTTGTTGTTGTTGTTGTTATTATTGTTATTACTATTATTATTATTACTATTGTTTGAAAAAGGTGAATTTGGTTAAGCTGCCAAAGGAAGGGGAGACTTTATCTGTATGTAAAGATAATGGAAAGCCTCACAATAACAAAAGATCACGGTTGCAGAGTGAGTATTCATTGTGGATATCATTTTTTTGTAGCATTTAACAAGGTTGCTTTTGAAATAAAACCTTTTTCCTTGTGTCATTTACAGGTTCTGGCTCTTCTGAACCATTGCAGTCTGAGGACAGTAATGGAAATAGAAGGTTTCTTTTTGTTATACTTATGATAAAAAGTTCTTCTTAAAGTTTACAATGTTGTTTGGTCTTACTTTTCTCGCTCTCTCAGAAAATTTCCTTCTCCTTTTATCCTGCCCCACTTCCCATTCTTAAATTGGTCATTTAAGCTTTTGCATGAGATAAAACGGGCTTTTGCGATGCAGTAAAAACGGTTTAAATTTAGGGCTGAAAGAAATCCTATAATGTCCTTGTTGTGTCTCATCATGCAGAGATAATGTGAAAATAAAAACCTAACTTAACCTACAGGGATTACTTTAAGGCGACATATACAATTCATTTCAAAGATGATTGGCACAAAACCTTATGAACTACTGTCATGTCAGGCCTTCTGTGAGGAGACAATCCGCGAGGTTTAAGGCTGCCGAGTCAAAATCTGTCGATCATCGGTCAGAAAGAGATGACTCCAAATTTTCTGAATGTCCTTTGCCTCAAGAACCAGTTGTGGAAAATGGATTGATTTCTGGAAGCACATCAGTTGAAGAAGACAATAACCATGTAAAGGTGGATTTGATCAAGTTGCCAGAGGAAGGAGAACCTTCACATGTAGGTAGAGATGCAGAACAGCCACGTAATGTGAAAAGAAGATTAAGGTCGCAGAGTAAGTGTTTGTTTTAGATTTTGTCTTGTTCATAGTACTTCAGCTTCACACGGTTGTTTTTAAACTGAAGCCTTCTCCTTTGGGTCATTTATAGGTTTAGGCTCTTTCGAGTCATTGCAACCTGAGGAGAATGCTGGAAATAGAAGGTCTCTCTCTCTCTCTCTCTCTCTCTCTCTCTCTCTCTCTCTCTCTCATACACACACACACACACATCACCCTCACCTTTCTAACTAATAAATCTTAAAGCATAGTTGACCAAATTTTTGGGTGAGCCTCTATCTCTACTTGTCTAATACTTTCATCCGTCAGCTCAAATGTTATGTCCATTGTGTTTATCAATTGTCTCCTCATACCAGTCCTTTAGACAGTGTGAGTTTTTCTAAAAAGTTATTTTAGCAATACTTTGTCTAAAACAGTGGCTTTGTTTCGTCTGTCAAAACAGTTGTACTTCACCTTGTTTCATTTTCATTTATAGACTGAAGGTTATTATCCCATTGGACTAGTATTCAACCTACTACAACTTGATTCTTTAAAATTGGGTTCGGTGTGTGCTTAGTTTCATATTTCATTATATGTACATCGTTCAGTGGCCTTAACCAAATCAGCGGGCTTTTGTTGAAAGTTTCTCAGTTGAACATCTTTTTTTCTTTTTTGTTTTTGTTCTCTCTCTTTCTTCCTTTGGCCTTGATAATTTCTATCTTGTTTCACCATTTTAATTATTTTACTTTCTGAACCAAAAATGAAACCTAATTGGGTTGACATGACATTGAAATGAGAGACTAAATTCATTTGTGAGACGAATTAGACATGACACGACACCGAAATGAGTGACTAAATGTATTTATTTGTCAGACGAATTAGACATGAACTAGAGACAAAGTATTCCTTAAAAAACCTTGTTTGATTAAACCCTTGTTTTGTTACTGTCATGGACAGGGTGTCTGTGAGGAGACAATCCGCCAGGTTTAAGGCCTTAGAGCAAAAAACTGTGGGGGATGAATCAGAAAAACACAATATAAAGTTTCTCGAACAAGCGTTGCCTGATGAAAAGTCAGTCCTTGAAAATGGATCAACTTCTAAAAGTGGATCGGCTACAGATGGAGATAACAGAGGCAGTTCTGGTTTCGAGTATAATCCTCCAGAAATCGGGAGATCATCTCTAAGCAGGCCATCTCGTTTGGCGGCCAAAAAAGTTCAGTCTTACAAAGAAATACCTTTAAACATAAAAATGCGTAGAGAGTGAATGTTTTTCAGACACCTTTTAGTTTTTAGTTTGTGTCTCGTTTAGGATTTGCATGCCTCTTTTGTTGTTTTCTTTGTTCATATTATGGTTGTAATCTACTGTATCTTTTTAACCTGGTTTAACTTGAGATAATGCCCGTTTAGCTATAAGCGGTTCGACCCATTAGTTTGACTTTTATGTAGTTGTGTGGTGTGTATGTTTGGTGTTTTTCCTGTTAGGGTAATGTGTATTAACTGAGTTTTCATAGTACTGAGTATTTTTACATCAACCTCTGTTTATTGATGCATTTATTTGTGCTGTATATATTGAGAAAATAGAAATACACTTGGGATTAATTGGATACCATTTCACTTTGGCACTTTTTCATTACAAATTGAGACAAAACCTTCCTATCAGATGACCAAACCTGGTTTACTTGTGTTTGAAGCAACAATGAAAGACATATCATACAATTTTGTCGAGTACAATACACCTTTGTTTATGTGCCGGCATCAAAACAGAGGGGGAAGGTGAATCTACAAGTGTATGAATACATTTAAGCTTTAAACTTGTAAGACAAAACTCACCTGGAAAAAAAAAAAATGGCTGCAATGGGTACGGTAAATGAAGCACAATAGGATACGGTAAATGAATTGGCATGCAAAAAACCAAATAATCGTGCCATCATGAATATTGTGCATGTTTGCCTGCACTTACCGACGATTAGAGCTTAACTTCTAATCCTTACAGATCTTATAATATTCATCAAGTTTCAAAATAATGTGCAATATAATTGCCAGGAAAATAAATAATTTCCGGCAAAGCTATGATCCTATCGAACAATCAAGCCTTCATGGTTCTCATGGTAGATACATATGAATATTGGTAGAGAGATCACTTAAACATATAAAGGACCAAACCAAATCCTCAATGTTAAGATTGTTTGAGCAATATTCCATCACTTAAAACATTTCTACTGAAAACAGCCACAAACTCTCAAGACTCAAATTTAAGCGTGAAAGATGAAAACGAAACAAATACTCTCAAGACAGAGGAAAAATATAGGTAGAAGCACAACAAGATTCTGCAAATGAATTGGCATGCAAACAGCCCAATAGTCGTGCCATAATGAATAATGTGCATGTGTGCCTGCACTTACTGAAATGATTATAGCACAACTTATCATCCTTACGCTTATAATATCCATCAAGATTCATACAAATATGCAGGACAATAAGTAATTTGCAAATTGCAAAAAAGTTAAGATCGTGTCGAACAATCACGATTCGTTGCTTCATGATAGAAATATGAAAATGTTGGTAGAAAGATCACTTAAACATCAGGACCAAACTAAATTCACAATATTGAGATTGTTTGTTCGAACAACATTTCTTCATAACTAAAACTACGCTGAACATCTGTCATTACATTTTCTACAGCAAAAATGGCGACAAAACTCTAGAATTTAAGTGTAAACCATGAAAATGAACAAAATATCATCATGTCCATTTCAAGAAGAACCACCAGACTGCAAACATCGGAATCTAATACTTCCCCTTTCTCAGCTACAGATTCCACAAAACAAAACGCTGAAAAACCCTACAATTGCCTTGAACTAATAAATAAACGGAATAAACCTGTACCTAACCCTCGCCATGTACTCGCTGTACCTCTCCTCGAATGTCTCGAGCAATAGGGCCTCCTCCAACTTTGCCTTCTTCCCATAGTACACCAAGCAAATCCCGACCAAAAACAGCAAACTCCACGGTGCTCGTAATGCCGTAAAGTATGATGCAAACAAAAGAACTGTCGACGCATACATAGGATGGCGCACGAACCTATACGGCCCGACGTGAACAACTGAAGTCGGCTCAACGACTCGTTCTGAGTACTTTGATAAGTACAGAACCGAGCCATACTGAAGGAAAACCGAGGCAAGGATCAAAACCCAGATGCCCAAATTGTTCCACCCTCCAGGCACGAGGTGGAGCTCGACCCCCTCAAAGGCTGCTAGCCAATGGGCCAGAAATACTCCGGCACAAAAGAGAATCTTGTCAAGATTTGGCAAGCTGATATCCCATTTCGGGTCGTGCTCCCGAGCATAAAGATCCCCGTAGAGTCTTTTTCGAACACTTACGTGTAAGAAAAAGAAGAAGTGGTAGACTAGGAAGAATACGAAAGGCCAGCCCTCGAGAAATCCGTTGAAGTGGGCCGGAGGGACTAGCGTAAGCCAAGTGAAAGCAGAGGTCACGATTCCGAGTTGCTCGATCTCTGTGGCCTCTCCCTTGAGATACTTCCTGAGGCAGTAACAGCCGCAGATTGCAACGGCTACGGCCACCATCCACGGCCAAAAAATCCAAGTCCAACTGAAGTATAGCCAGAAAAAGGGGCTCAAGAGCAGGTTCGCCGTCCATTTGGACACGGCGATCACGGCACAGAACGCCAGGCTCCACTTGCATACGTCGGCCGGAGTCAGCTCCGACAGGGTGGATTTCAGGGAGTCGAGAACTCGAGACGGAGCATCTGGGCCGGATGAGGCCGCAGAACTCGAGACGGAGCATCTGAAAATGCGAAGGGGGAAAAGGGTTCTGGGGTGGTTCGAAGGGGTCCCCAGGCCCAGAGATGGAAAACCCGACCCGACCCGAAGTGGGTTTACTGAATCGGGAGCGACCGATAAATGACAGCTGTTGAAGCTTGGATTGTTGTTCTTCACGGATAAACCTTTGCGCTCAAAGTGTTTGTTAGAATGCCTGAGGAAGAGGAGACGGCTGCTCTTGGGGAGAGTGGAGCTAAAAGGGGTCACCTTTGGGAAGACAAACGAAGCGGCGGCTGCGTCCATAGTATTGTTTGGTCGGCGGACACTGCAGCGAGTCAGCAGAGTCCAAAATCCTAAAAATCGACAATGAAGAAGATGACTGAATGAGGGAAGTTTTTATGTACTGTGCTGGATAGGGGTTTTGTAATTAGTTGCGGATAATTGCAAAAAGACCACTTTTTATGGGGCTATTTATTTATTTAACCAAATCAAGGGCTATTTTGTTTAAATGGGGTGCCGCAGTTAATTAATAACTCTTACACTAACTACAATTAAATAGAATTTAGGGATCGTCTATTGTCAGGTACCCTTCATACCTACCTAACATTAGGTACCCTCTTTATATCACCATTAGATTGACTTAAAATCAATATGAACCATTAGATTAAGGTACGAAGTTGGTACAAGGTAACCAAAATTCTATTTTGTCTTGTACCACCCTTGTATCAACCTCGTACCCCTTGTACTTACAAATAACCTATAATACTCTTATGTAATTAAAAATTAAGATAATTTATTAATTTATAATTATATTTATCTTTAAGTCCTTACATCTAAATTATTTACAACAATCCTTCAAATACAAAACTATTTCATCAAAACCTCAACATTTGTCATTATTATTTCCATTCAATTTGTTCTTCGATTTAATTTATTTTTGCTTTTGTCTCCCCCCCTCTCTCCATCATTCAATCGAAGAAGATTTCCAATCTGTATATGTATATTTTCAAACGATTGTCGATGGTGAATCTGAAAATACCGATATATGGCCTAATCGGACAATACCGATTGTTTTGTCTACAGAGATATGTTGAATCCAGGTATATTTCGAATCCACAATTATTTCGAATGTATGCTTCGTCTCCGTGAGTTGTTTCGCGAAATTTTATGACGTACGACACTGTTTGCAAGATCCCAAAATTTAAATTCATGTATCTGAAATGTATTGTGTGATTTTTGTATTCAATTCCAGATTGTTGACCTTTAACTCCCATTTTGATAAAATTTTTATGTTAAATGGTTTATGCTTCACATTCATGTAATCGTGTAATCGATTCTTTTGAATATAGATCTGATTTGATTAGGTGGATTTGTGAAATGAGGATAAATTGTGCTTTTGGTGAATCGTTAATAAGAATATTTCATGATTGATGAAATGCCTCAATAATATTGTATATTGTGTTACTTAGATTTTAATATCCAGTAAGGTAAAAGAAAAATGAAAACGAATAAACCATGAAATATTCGGTTTTGAACTTCCTTCTGTGTATCAAACAATTTACTCCTATTCATTCTTGGACTTCGACAAACCTGGACCGAAGTTCGATTCACTTGAGATGATCTCCGTACCATTAGGATACTTGGTGATTATCGTAATGAAGTCAATCATAGAAAACACTGATAACTTGTAGCCAAAAAGACCCCATCAATATCCAACAGTACTGTCGTTGTTTTAGTGTATCATAAATTTCCACGAAGATAGGTATTAGCCATCGAACGACAACTATTTCTACA